CTCTTTCTCATATCATTATCAATTTTGTTATTATTAGTAGTAGTATTAGTATAATTATTATTATTGTTGTTGTTGTTTGTTGTTGTTGCTGCTGTTGCTGCTGTTGTTGTTGTAGTTGCTGTTGTTGTTGTCGTCATCACTTATCACCTTAATCATTGTCTACGTCATTGTATATGTGTATGTGTGTTTGTATGTGTGTGTATGTGTGTGTATGTGTGTGTGTGTGTATGTGTGTGTGTATATGTGTGTGTGTGTATGTGTGTGTGAGTGTGTGTATGTATGTATGTTTCTATGTAGTACGTATTTTAAAGTCCCTTCGTAATGTCTCTCCAATGAGCGATCGCATAAATGTTGAAACTAGTCGCCGGAATTCTCACTGCACGATGATGAAGACGACGATGATGATGGCGATGATGACGAAGAAGAAGACCACAACGATGATGATGACGATAAAGAAGACGACTATACTGAAAATTTATGACGATGAAGATTACAATTAAAATGTGTACAATCGTAATTTAAAACTAATACTAACATCATCATCAACATTTAAAAAATCACATCACCATTGTCTCATGATCATCATCATCAACGAAAACAACAACATCATCATCGTCATCATCATCGTCATCATCATCATCATGGCCATACTTCGCCACCATCATCATTTTCATCGCCGAACATAAAGACGACGACATCAACAAAATATTCGTTACACATGGACTATTGACTTACGACACATATGTAAGTCTGGCAGTAGCTGTCAAAATAGTAGTGGTAGTAAAAGTAGTAGTAGTAGTATTAGTAGTAAAAGTAGCAGTAGTAGCAGTAGTAGTAGTAGTAGTAGTAGTAGTAGTAGCAATACTACGAACAACGATACATACGCCATAATACAACAACAAGACGATCGCTAGAAAACTTTAACAAAACCTAATACTACTATTGCTACTACTACTACTTCTACAATTACTACTACTTTCGCTACAATCACTACTACTTTTACTATTTCTATTACAATCACTACTACTACTACTACTTCTATTACAATCACTACTACCACTACTTCTATTACAATCACTACTACCACTACTTCAACTACAATCATTACTACTACTACTACTACTTCTATTACAATCACTACTACTACTACTATTACTTTTACTACAATCGCTACTATCACTACTTTACTACAATTACAACCCCAACTACAGTTACCGCAAGTACTACAACTGCTCTGAACAACGATCTAGAACAACGCTAAAAATTTTTTTATCATGCAAATCCAACGACAGACTTCAGAGCCACAAGGGTCGCATAATGCAACATTAGTAGGGTCATCTCACCTGTATGACAGTAACGTACATTCACTGTTTATTAGTATCGGTACTATTGTACTATGTTAGTATTGTTAACATTTCTTCGAGGCTTAAATCGATTTGTAGTACCATTTAAATGCTACTACTATTGTCTTACAACTACTTTTTCTACAACTATTCCTTGTTGTTGTTGTTGTGGTAGTAGTAGTAGTAGTAGTGGGGGTAATGGTTGTTGTAGTAGTATTGTCTTACTACTACTGAAGCTAGTAGTATTAGTTGTAGTTGTATTAGTTGTAGTAGTAGTAGTAGTTGTTGTTGTTATTGTTGTTGTAGTTGTTGTTGTTATTGTACTGTAACTCAAGGCGTAAAAAGCAGAACTTCCAAGTGCGAATTTTCATTGTCTTCAATTGTTTCAATTTCTACCCTCACTGCATTGTCTCAAGGAATTTTGCTCTAACTTTCAAAAATTATAAATTTGACTTTGTAAAAATATTTCATGTAGTTTCATTTACTAATCATATATATGTTACTAATTAATTTTAATAATTAATAAATAAATTAATTAATTTATTAATTTATCAAACCATTAAATCATTCGTTCATTCATTCATTCATTTACTCGTTCATTCATCCTATGTTTTCCTTATTTTTACTCCAAAAAATAATTCTGAACTTTTACAGAAAAATTCAATTTAAATGAAAAACAAACACACAAAAGTTATTTGGTGATTATTATTATTGTTGTTGTTGTTGTAGTAGTAGTAGTAGTTGTTGTTGTTGTTGTAGTTGCTGTTGTTGTTGTCGTTGTTGTTGTTGTTGATGGTGTTGTTGTTGTTATTGTTGTTGTTGAACGAGTTAACAAAGGAACGACAGAACGAACGAGTGGATGAACACGAACTGAGGCTTAATAGAAATTTTACTAAGATTAGCAAAGAACATTAAACAATGGCGTCGGGAAGAAATTTATTTTCTTTGCTCTCCATTGATAAAATAATACAGCGTACGTTTTTCCGATTCAAACATTAGCAATGAAAGAAAAAACATTGGAGAGAAACTATGACGTCATGTTGTTAGTATTTACGTCATGAACGTAAACAAACACTAATAACAGAATGGTTAGCTGTAATGGAATTTATATTTACAAGCCTAATAATGTGAATTTTAGTGACAACGCAGTAGCGATACACATTGTTATTATTATTTTTTAATACACTAATACAGCATACCCGCACGTAATAATAATAATAATATCAATAATAATAATAATAATTATTATTATTATTATATTATAATATTATTAAATAGGATTTTATAATTATTTCATTATTAATATTTGGTATTTGGAGTTAGAAAATAAAAGAATTATTATTATTATTATTAATATAAGTAATAATAATAATAAATAATAATAATAGTTTACTGGAGGAATTAAAAAAAATTTAAAATAAATTTCTCGAAAGAAATTTAGACAAAGGGCAAGACGAGTGTTGACGCATGGACTGCATCACGTTCATCGTGTCGTGATGTGAATATGGATAGAAAATTGTTTTAACCTTTGTCAGTGTCACCAGTATTTGTTTTTTAATAATAATAATAATAATCGTAATTATTAAAAACAGTAGTAGTAGTAGTGGTAGTTGTTGTTGTTGTTTTTGTAGTATTAGTAGTAGTATTTGTAGAATTATTATTATTATTATTAGTAGTAGTAGTAATGTAGCAGTAGTAGTAGTAGTAGTAGTAGTAGTAGTAGTAGTAGTAGTAGTAGTAGTAGTAGTAGTAGTAGTAGTAGTAGTAGTAGGAGTGTAGTAGTAGTGTTAGAGGTAGTAGTATTAGTAGTAGTAGTAGTGTAGTAGTAGTAGTAGTGTAGTAGTAGTAGTAGTAATAGTAGTAGTAGTAGTAATTGTTGTTGTTGTTGTTGTAGCAATGCTTATTGTCAAGTTCTGGCATTTTCATACAACAACTTATTAACAATTCGTGCAACTGCCACAAAGCGAACGGAAATATTACTAATAATAACAACAACAATAATAATAACAACAAGAGGACTAACAATGATGATAATAAGAATAACATACGTCCAACTGCTATTGTTACTAATCGAACTTAAGACTATTCACTTCGCGAGCTTTTTTATGTAATAAAATTATTAAAAATTATTATTATTATTGCTGTTTTTACCGTCATTATTGTTGTTGTTCTTATTATTGCTATTGTTCTTGTGTTGCTGTTGTTGTTGTTGTGTTGTTATTGTTGTTGTTAATGTTATTAATATCACTATCGTCATTCTTATTGTCATTATTATTGTTATTGTTAGTGTATATAAATAACAATTTTCAGCATTATTTCTGACTTCAAACGAATTTAACCTTTTTTAAAGGATTTCTAACAAAAAAATTAGAAGAACGAATTTAAGAAGAATAAAAAAATCATTTATTTTTTAAAATAATTATTACTAAATTAATTATTACTAAATTAATTAATATTAATTAATCATATATTTATAATTCAAAATAATTGATTAATATTAAGAAATATTATATAAAAATAATAAAATAAATGGAGGTTATATTTGAGTCCGACAACAGACCAAAAGCACTCTTTGTTATCCGTTAATTTAAATTTTTTGACTAAACCACTGGAAAAAATGAAACAGATTTTCAGGATATTTTACGGTTTGATACATTCTTTTTATTGATTAAACACTCCTTTTTGATAGATACTTTTATTATTGTTATATATTATTATTTTATTCTTTTTATATTTTATCAATCAATCAATCAATCAATCAATCAATCAATCAATCAATTAATCAGTTAATCAATTAGTTTATAAAGCGCTTTTTCCCCGAAGTTCAACAGCGCTCTTCAGTGAATTTTGAAAACAGATGGGTCTTGAGATCCGCTCTGAACTTCGTAAGTGATGGAGAAGTAGTCAGAGAAGGAGGTAGAGAGGTCCAAAGAAGAGGACCAGATAAGCAGATGTAGATTTAGCAAAAGAGTGTTTATACATAGGCAAATTATTTCAATTCAATGTGCTCAGGGTTTATAGGATATTTTAACAAATATAAATGAAAATGATATTCATCCATTCATTCACCTTTAAATTGATTCAGTTGCAGTTTTATTGTTGGCAACACGGGTATCGTGTAACACCGTTCCTACAACTGAAGGAGGAAACGGATATTTGGGACCTCTGGGACCGGATGGTCCGATCGGATCGACCGGAAATATTGGATATATAACGGGTATGTCGGATGTTGTGAGATTGAAATGCGTGGATGTTGTTTATGTGGCTGTTTTTTTTTACCATGCTTCGTTTATGCGTATTTGAGAGTTTATCCAATCAGAATGGTGTTATTCCTATTATAGCACGTGATAGGAACCGACAAACAAATGCACGCACACACACAGACGCACGTACACAAACACACATACTAAACACACTCACGCATGCCTATAAACACACATACAAACAAATATAAATTACAAAATGCCATTAAACAAAACGTTCACGCACACGATTGTATCACTGCTGTTTGTTTCAGCAGCCAAGTCAACATCAACCACAAAGCCACTACCGTCACCACAACTAATATCCCACTGTGATCAACAATTTTGTTACGAAATATCGGCCCAGTCCCAATATTACCCGGACACGAATACCGCAAGAAGTACTTGTCGGAACCGAAACAACTCCAGTTGGCCCGTCGAGATTTATGACGAATCGGTGATGGGGTCGGTTAATTTCATTCTGAATAATTATAGAGATGTGCTCAGCGGTATGAAGGTATTTTTAGGGCTGGATCGGTACGAGCAGAAACCTTGGAATTGGAATAACGGAAAACCGTTTGTCGGTTTGTCGGTCTTCATTTTATTCACTTGATTATTAATTTTTATTCTTATTTATTATTAATTTGTATTATTATTATTGTTTAATATTTATAATTATTTAGATGTTATTTAACAAGATTAACAAATGTTATTTATTAAAAGTTTAATCTTAGAGCTAAAATTTTTTGAACAAAAAATTAACATTTTGGTATGTTATATTACGTTATAATATATTTAGTATGAATAATTAGAAAATTATTAATTATAATTTTCCATAATTTTAAAACTTATTTTCCTCCAGAATTTAAAACAAAGCAAGAGACGACGACTGATGACAACCGAAAAGCTTTTATATACATAACGCAGCCAAAATCTCAAACGAATTCACTCGAATTCTACGAAGATTACTCCACAAACAATAGATATTTCATTTGCCAGTTTAAACGTAAGTGTGTGTCTGTGTGTGTCTGTCTGTGTGTGTGTGTGTGTGTCTGTGTGTGTGTTTGTGTGTGTGTGTGTAGTGTGTGTGTAGTGTGTGTGTGTGTGTGTTGTGTGTTCATCGTTTCTCCTTACTTAATTGCAATTAAACTTTTGTGCTACTATGATTATTAGCCTATGAACAAATAGCTTGGCAAATAAACATAGGTATCAACATGTATCATTTTTATCAATAAGTATGAACACCCAAGATAGTATTTTAGTTTCACATCGGTTGGATTCGAACCAGGTCAATGCGCAATAGCATCCCAAAACATGGCAGTTCTAACGTGTTAGCTATTTCGTTTCGACAACATTGATATATATCATGATATATGATATTATGATATTTATTGTGATATTAATGAAAAATAAGACCAACAACAGAAGTAACGCTTTAGTGCAAGTCATTATGCCATTACAAAAACCATCAAACTTATTGCTTTTGAAATTTTCCCAAATTAGGTAGATGTAATGAATTCGCATACGGCTGGCCGGGAAAAGGTGCCAATTCAAGTACCCCTAACTGCTACGTAGCTTGCAACAACATCAACAACAACATCAATAACAACATCAACAACAACATCAATAACAACATCAACAACAACAACATCGACTACTACATGTCATGGCACGAGGCCAGATACTATTGCCACAAAAACGGCGCCGGCGATTTGGCGGTCTTCGACGGCCACAGCATTGATGACGTCATCGTCGGAATGGCGTCGATGGCGACCGTGGCTGGGCAGACGTACTGGGTAGGTGCTGCCAAGATGAGGTGGTACTGGAATCGGGATTACCCCGGTGGGTATAATGATGGAACATTCTTTTATATACGGAAAAAATCAAATCCAAATGAAATCAATCGAAAATTATATATCAGAGTGTAAATGAATAAGATGTAAAATGTAATGTACGATCCCCTCATGCTCTCTGATCAACAAGTGCTTGGGAGTAAAAAAAATATATTTAAAATCGGTTAAGTAGTGTTTCTGTCGCAATCCTATTGTTAATCCTATGCACAATAATAAAGGTAATAATAATTTTAATAATATTAATAATTCAAAAGAAATAATTTTAATTATTTCAGTAAAGGAAGCTTTGTACACTAATTGGGTTTATCACGCTGGGTTTCCAAATAGTAACCTCTTCTACTTATCGTCGTCGTCATCTTCCTACATCACTTATATCGAAGTCAGTAATGATTCCGATCAGTGGAAAGATACCACACAGGTTCATTTATTTGATTGATTGATGGATGGATGAGTTGGTGAGTGAATGAATGAATAAATGAATGAATGAATGAATGAATGAATGAATGAATGAATGAATGAATGAATGAATGAATGAATGGATGAATGAATGAATGAATGAATGAATGAATGAATGAATGAATGAATGAATGAATGAATGAATGAATAAATGAATGAATGAATGAATGAATGAATGAATGAATGAATGAATGAATGAATGAATGAATGAATGAATGAATGAATGAATGAATGAATGAATGAATGAATGAACAAACGAACGAATGAACAAACGAACGAACGAACGAATGAAAGAATGAATTTATTAAAAAAAGAAAGAAAAAAGAATTAATTAATGATTGGAAAGTGATAATATGGATCATTAAGTTTAATTAGTTATGTGATTATTGTTCTATAGTTAAACATAATTCATCATTATCACCATCATGACACTTTTTATCATCATCGTCGTCGTCGTCCCTATCATCGTCATTATCATCATCGTCTCCATCATCATCATCATTATCATCATCATTTCCAGGGCAGCACACAAAACACCATGCTCAATCTTACATTGATTTGTATGTCATGTAAGTAATGATGATGATGATGGTGGTGATGATGATGGTGGTGATGATGATGACCATCATCATTATCATCATGATGACGATGACGACGATGATAATGATGATGATGTTGATGATGACGATGACGACGATGATAAAAACAATGTATCAGTGATGATGATAATAATAATATAATAATGATAATAATAAATTTATAAATACTCTCTCTATGACTGCAAAACATTTTCAGTTAACCCAATGTTCAGCAAAATGACGTCAACAACAAACCAGAATGAATGGATAGCCACAACAGCAGCAAGTAGGCCACCCAGCCTCTAATACTATATACAACATAATAAAATATTTAATACAATGTGTAATGTTGATGTTAATAATGATACAATGTTTAATACAATACGTAATGTTTATAGTAGTTACAATAAAACGTATCATACAATGTATAATGTTTAATACAATTTACTGCATTTTTTTTTTCAAAAATACTTGGTAGCCCAATTAAATTCTACTAAAGTACTTAGCTATTCGTTATATAGACGATGGATCCGGAATTAGTAAAGGTAGTGTAGTGGGCGTGGTTATCGGCCTGTCAATCATCTGCTCCATCATTTCGGCCATCATCACGTGCTTGGTGATGAAGCGATGCTATAAGTTAGTGGTTCTTATGATGATTGATGATGGTGATGATATTATTATTATTGATTATGATACTGATGTTATTATCATTGTTGTTGTTGATGTTATTATTATTATTATATTTAGTATTATAATTGTTATTATTGTTATTATTTTTATAGAAAATGTTTGAAAATATTTTGTTAACCAACAGCATTATCATACGCAACAAACAAACATCAACAATCACTTCCCGTTCTACATGGGATTCGAACCCGGGACCTCAACATTCGCAAAAAAACATTCACCAGGAAAAAGAAGAGCGAGAGCCAACAACATGAACATGCCATCAGAAATCTCCCGCCAGTTGACGACGAAGACAACACATACCTGCGTCTGGCGCCACAAAACAAAGATCCTCAATGTTGTTACGAAAACGAGGTTGTTGAAAATATAAACAACAACAACAACATAAGCGATAGCAACCTAAACAACACACACAACATCATCAGCAGTCACATCAACAACAGCAATTTAAACAATGATATCATCAACTACAACAACAACAATAACATTAATGAAAACAACAAAGACAATTGTGACAAAGAGATTTATGATATTATATGTTAATAAATTGTTAAATGGAATTTTCAGTTTCAGTTTTTGTTTCTCATTTAAAAAATTTTCCCCTTTCAATTTTGGTTTCGTTTTATAAAGTTTTTCACACAAAATTTTGCCTTGAAAATTGAAAAAACCTAAAAATAATGGTCCGTTACACAGATAAAACCTACAGACTTGTAAATATAATAAATGAATAGTTAAAACAATGGTAATCGCCTATATTTTATTATTCGAAAATTAAAATAAATAACTTTTATAATTTTTCAAATTTAACGATTGACTGATTGATTGATAAAAGGAGGATAAATGTGAATAAATAATTAATCAATCGCTATCATGATTGAATATAAATTAATAAAATAATTAATTTGAGTCTTTAAAATCCAAAATATAATTAAAATCGGTAAAATAAAATGATTTTATTAAACTGGAATATACTTTTATTAATATTTTTTCGTTAAAACGAGACTATCACAGAACATCCATTTAAAAATTTTCGTCGTTGACATCATAATTACTGTTTCTGTTAAGTTATTGTTGACGTGATTTTAATGTTGTTGTTGTTGCTGCTGTTATGTTAATGACGTTGTTGCTGTTATGTTGATGACGTCATCGTTCTTGTTGCCAAGTTGATGATGTTGTTGTTTTTGTTGATGTTTTTGTTGTTGTTATGTTATTGTTTTCTAAATGTTGATGTTTTGACTGAAGAGTTTGTAGGCCTTGTTAATATTATCTCCTTCGATTTTCGTTGTTCCGATTATTCCGATTTTCGTTGTTTCGGATATTCCGATTTTCGTTGTTTCGGATGTTCCGATTTTCGTTGTTTCGGATATTCCGATTTTCGTTGTTTCGAATATTCCGATTTTCGTTATTCCGGTTATTCCGATTGTTTCGGTTGTTATTCCGATTGATTCGGTTGTTGAGTATGTTTCGATTGTTGTCGACAACGTTTAGATTGCGGTTCCGGAGAATGAGGGCCGCTTCCTCTTCCAGACTGTAGACGAAAGGATTGTCAGCGAACGGATCTATAGGTCTTCCAGGGGGATTGTTGGCTGGAATGTTTCGGTTACGTCTGATAATATTGTTAGGAATATTAATTCTGTTGTTGTTGGGACTGGGGCTATTTTGATTGTTATTGTTAGCATTGTTGTTTTGATTATTGTTATTGTTGTTATTCTGGTTGTTGTTGTTGTTATTGTTATTATTGGCATCGCCGTCGACGACGTCATCGTCACTTCGACGCCTTGAACGCTGCTGTCTCTGCGGCACGTCAACATCAACCAGTTGTCTCAACTTTTCAATTTGGTCCTCGTCATTTTGATTGTTATTGTCATCACCATCTCCATCTTCTTCATTTCGATCTTCATTGCGGTTGTTGATGTCAACATCGTTCATGAAATCGAGGGCAGCGTTGTTGTCATCATCATCATTGCTATCGTTATTATCATTGTTATCGTTATTATCATTATCATGGTTATAAACGACGATAAATGCGTTATAATCATCGTTGTCATTTTTATCATCATCGTCGTCATCATCACTTCTCTGACCATTAGCATTCTCTTCGTCATTGAACACTTGTTGAATTTGTTGTCGTTGTCCGGCATCATCGCCTCTACCATCATCATTTGGCGAACGTTCAAAATTATCGGAATCTTGAACGTTAACTCGGTGAACCCTGGGAGGGTCTAAACGGGGTCGATATCGATTAAATTCAGAGACTACTTGACTAGCAAGATTGGGATTAATAGCTTCCTGACCAACTTGATCATTATGGTTGGGATTAATATCCACTTGACCAACTTGACCAATAAGATTGGGATTAATATCCACTTGACCAACTTGACCAATAAGATTGGGATTAATATCTACCTCACCAACTTGACCAGCAAGATTGGGATTAATATCAACCTGACCAACTTGACCAATAAGATTGGGGTTAATAACATCCTGGCCAAAATAAATATGATTAACGAGAGGATCCTGGTAAATAATTTGCCCGTATTGAAATTGATTAAGAACAACTTGATTATTAGAATTATCCGGATTAAGAACCACCTGATTATTGGGGTTAGGATCCGGAACAACTTGATTGTTGGGAACAAGATTAGGATGGACCAGATTATTAAAATTAGGAAAAAGCTGATCAATAAGATTGGGTCCAGGAATAACTTGATCATTGGGATCAGGATCAGGAACCATGAGATTGTTAGGATCAGGAACTACCGGAACATTAGGAATGTAAACTTCCAGATTGGGGTTGGGAACCACCTGATTATTAAAAATAGGAATCGCCTGATCATCAAGATTATGAATCACCTGGTTATCTGGATTAAAAACTATCTGGTTATCAAGATTAAAGGCCACTTGATTATTAGGAATAGAAACTACCTGATAGAGAACCGGATTTAGAAGGATTTGATTATTAAAAGTAGGAACTACCTGATACAGAGGATTATGAACTAATTGGTTATGGAGATGTACATTGGGAATCACCTGATGATTAGCATTAAGCACCATTTGGTTATTAAGATTATTATTTACCAACTGATAAGGATTATAAACGAAAACTACTTGATCATTGTAATTTAAATCAGGAACGACAAAATTAGGGTAAGGAACATTCTGATCATTATGATTCGGATTAGGGATTGCCTGAGAACCAGGGTCAGGAACCACCTGGTTAATAATAATAGGTTCCTCCCGATTATTAAAATTTGGAACAATCTGATTATCAGGATTGGGATCTCCATGGTTATTAAAATTAAGATCTACCTGGCTATCAGGATTGGGAACTACTTGAATATTAAAATTAGGAACTACCTGGTTATTAGGATTTTGGACTACCTGAATATTAGGATTAGGATTTACCTGGCTATCAGGATTGGGAACTACTTGAATATTAAGATTAGGATCTACCTGGTTATTAGGATTTTGGACTACCTGAATATTAGGATTAGGATCTACCTGGCTATCAGGATTGGGAACTACTTGAATATTAAGATTAGGATCTACCTGGTTATTAGGACTTTGGACTACCTGAATATTAGGATTAGGATCTACCTGGTCATTAGAATTTGGAACTACCTGATTATTAGGATTGAGAAGTATTTGAATAAGATTACTAGATGCCTGTTGATTAAGAATAGGAACGGCTTGATCATTATTAACAGGATATACCGTATAGTCATTAAGATTGGGATTAGGAATGACTTGATGAAGAGAGTTATAATAAGCGGCTACCTGATTGACACCTGGAACTTGTGGGCTGCGTTTTGGAGATAAACCTGCCGGTATCCTGCCAAATATCTCGTAGTCGTTGTAGTTATCATGGAATATGCCTAGCTCTTGCCTGCGTGCGTTTAATAAAAATTATTTTTATTTGATCTGTTTTGATAAAAAAATTATTAATCATTTAATGTTTAATTTAATATTTTCTTGGCAGTATATTTAATTCTGTTAAGTATATACTGATTTAAAACGGATTTATTTCATTAATTTCAATATTATTAAATACCAAACATTGCTAGTATATAAATACTGTCTACAAGCAATTAAAATATATTTTAAATAACATGCAGTCTTCATCTGATACAAGTTACACAGCTGACATAAAAAGTTTACCTGCTCAATGAAATCGGATTACAAAATTTGTTGTACATTTTTTTTTAGTAAATAGATTAAGAGAGTTAGAGCAGTTTGCATGCACTGAATGGGTTTGTTCATTATTTGATTGTTCGTTATCGATGCGGAAATATCAAACTAGAGTTCAACTAAAAAACAAAAAGTAAACCAATCAACCAAACATCCAGTTCAAATTTTCAAGCTAACCTTATGGCAGCTCTAGCAGCTTTGAAAGAATCGACTTTATCGATATCGACATTGTAGATCATGTAATAACCGGTGTCACCCTTATAAATGAATATCGCTTTTCTGGAATCTGTTAATAGCTTTAGCTGATCCAGAGCGTCACTCAACTCGGCTTCTCGTAGGGTTTTTACTTTTAAAAATTTCAGCTGATCTAAATCGTGCACAGGCAAGCCGAATCTACGGCGGCAGTCCCCGTCGTCGTCCAGTATGTCCAATGCCTTGTGGTACATCATCATGACCTGTTGCAGCAGTTGGTGAACGCCATTCAGAGAGAGAGAAAGAGAGAGAAAAAGAGAGAGAGAGAGAGAAAGAGAGAGAGAGAGAGAGAGAGAGAGAGAGAAAAGCGAAACAAAGAAAGACGAGAGAGGAAAAATGAACATGGAGCTGTCTTGCTTGTTATAAAAATAAAGGTGAATGACTATCGTTTTAGATAGAAATATAAATATAGTCCTATAAATATAAACTAAAAATAGAAATATAGTCCTATAAATAGAAGTATTTCTATAAATGGAAAATTTAGAAAAACCAGCCCGCACCTCCGCCATGACAGGTTCCTGATCGTTTACTAACATTTCCACGTTCTTGGTCAAGTGAAGCAACATTTTCCTGTGAGTAAGCCTCAATATACCTGATGATGATGATGATGATGATGATGTTTATAATGATGGTGATTATGATTGTCCTAATCTCCATTCCTATCACCATCATTATCCTCATCATCACATCGTCATCACTACCATCATCGTCGTCATCATAACCATCGTGATCACTATGTTATCATCGTTGTTTTCGTCATCACCAACATGACATCATTATCAGCATGACATCATCATGACGTCATAACAATCACCATAGACTTGCTGTTGATCTTCCCCGAGTATATCATCAGTAGCTGTCTGAGCACTATCATCGAACTCTAAAAAGAAGAATCAAATTATTTTAACGAACGAACGAATGAATGAATAAATGAATGACCAAATAGAAAACGAACGATTGCGTAAACAAATGAAAGAACAAACAAACGAACGAACAAACAAATGAATGAACGAATAACTGAGTGAACGAAAAAAAATGCCAAAAAAGAAATTATTAGTGAAAGAACGGTGCAGACGAGCAAATGAAAGAATAAAACAATATATGAACAAATGAATGAATGTATGAATGAATGAATGAACGAACGAACGAACGAATGAATGAGTGAGTGAGTGAGTGAATGAATGAGTGAATGAATGAGTGAATGAATGAATTATTTAATTAATTAACGAACGAACACATGGATGAATGAAACCAATTTAATCAACAAAATATCACCATTCAACTGCTTTTCACCCAACCAACATTCACCATCATCGTCATCATCTTCCTCATCGTAGCCATCATAACCATCATCCTTTTTTTAATTTTCTCTCAACGCATCACACACATTGCATGCGATATGCGGAGATCTTCTTGCATTCGAACCCTATGACTGCCGGCCAGGCAGGCACCTTAACATTGCGCCATCCTCGTCTCCGCTAAAATCATCACCTTTATTATCATCGGACCAGTTTACGAAGAATCGCTTAAAATGAGAAAACTGATTGGTATGACAGGCGGTGATACAGTATCCGGAATCTAGAATATCTTCGAACGGCGCTTCAACAGTTGTGGCGTAAGTCTCGAGTTTATAACCGAGTTGAACGTCGAACGGACCGACTATATCCAGCTCATTCCTCGTGTCGTGTCGTCTGGCTCGGTGATTTGCGTTTGTCGGATCGAGTAGCGGCGATGAGAAGGTGTTCGATCGGAGCGTCGGCATTTTTGGCGACCAGAGAGACTCTGATGACGACGAACTCTCCGTCTGGTTTGTATATAGATGGTTGGTTGATTGATGAGTTTGAAATAAAATTACGCTTCAAAGAAGTCCAGAAATTATTTAAAATATTACAATTATTTGGCTTGGCAATTCTCACATAACACGAACACGTCTTTTAGAAGCATTTTGAAACGAATACCAAATTTTAATAAGGAGAAATAATTAACCTAAGAAATATAAAACAAAAACATTTCGTAGGACATGACTTATGCAAAAAGAAAGTTTTGTTTCAATTTTCGACCACGTCCAATTAAAACCAAAACTTTTAACCATTATAATTTGCAATAAAAATTAGAAAAAATTAAAAAACTTGTAAAGTTAAATTACATCCCATTCTTCTTCGCTCTCTAATTCATCTTCTGAATCGTTTTCTGTCATTTTTAAATTTTTTATTAATTTTTTAATTAAGTTATATTCGTTCTGAATTACTTTCTGCATGTCTTACAGAGGTATGAGGGATTGTATTTAGCGCCAAATACGCCTGTTCGTGGTATTGGTTAAATACCCAAATATAAAAATTTGTCAAATTTAAGATTATAATTGAATATTGAAATTCTAGATTTAATAGAAAAATTGTTTGTTTGTTTCAATTATAGTCTTATTAATCAAAAAATAGCGTTTTCATTGCAAATTGTTGGTGATTGTTACCTTACCATACTTATTTTGGCTAAAAGTAAACTTTAGTTAAAAAAATTAAAGTTTCGGCTTTGCTTTTTATCTGCTAGTAAAATAGAGGAGTGATAAAATTAGTGATTAGAAAAACATATGATGAGCGGGTGTCAGCATTTAGAAACCTTCAAAGCGGAATATGGCACTGAAACTTATAGAATAATTTACAGACATTTCATTGCTTGCAGCCATCCAAATTCTAGAAAAAGAAAAGTAAATTTTTACATTTAAATTTTAAATAACTACTCTACTCTAATAATGGAGAAATGTGTAAAACTTTAGTCTGCGTATTATTTTTCTCAAAAAAATTTTTTGTATTTATTAATTATGTTAATTTACGTAAGTTTTTTTAAAGTTTAAAAAACTAGCTAGAGAGTTAGATTTTGAAAAAAAACAAGGAAGCTATTTTTTAATTAAAATTTAATTAGATAATATGTTTTTTAAATTTTTAATATAGAAAATAAAATGTGTATAATATGTTAATGTTAAGTTGTTTGATTGAAATAATAATTAATAGTAGTTAATATTGAAATTTAAAGACTAGCAAACAAAATTTTTAAAAATCTAAATTTCTTTTATTTTATACTCAATCAAACATGCAAAACATCTAATCCTACGATTATAATCTAGACTTAACCCAATTCACTAATCACTAACAGGCCAGATCATTGTTCTGTTATACTTGCCGACAGTACCATCCAAGACTTCATTCCTGTTTGTATTGCGTATTTTTTGGCTGCTATGCCAACAAGCACATCAACGATCATGCCAAAACTCAAAAACATCACCTGGGTAAAATTTTATAATTAATTAATTAATTAATTTGATCATTTATTTATTTTTAATTTATTTATTAACTAATTTATTTATTATGATAATTTGTCATTAAATTAGAAAAAATAGGCATATTTTACACAATAATTAATTATTTTTAGCCATAGATTTGACGTACGGTGTCATATTATGCTTTCTTTGTGGAGACTATGTCTACGACGATGACATGGATGAAACTGCTAAAAAAGAACAAAAACTCGTCTGCAAGTCATTAGGTTATAATTATAATATAATAAATTATAATTTAATATAATATAAAGTGTAATTCTATAAATAATAATAAATAATAAAAATAATTTGACTGCTGTTTGTTAATGAAAATTTTAATTGGTTATATTTTAAGTTTGACGGTTCTTAAATAAAGTAATAATAATCTGTTGGCTGGTTTATTGATTGATTTCATAATTGGCGTAAAAGTTGATTGATTGGTTGGTAAAATGGATGATTGATTGATTGATTGAGTGGTTTTTTGATTGATTGGTTGATTGATTGAACGTTTGATCGGTTGATTAAATGGTTGGATGGTAAATAGGTAAAATTTAAAAATAAATATTTATTGCAATGATAATAGAATGAGCGACTAAATTTCAGAAAACACGCTATTCATGCCATGGGAACCAACAAAGGAAGAAGTTCAGCTGTTGAAAGAAAACCCCAAAAGGAGAAAGTTGACAGGGGATAGTACGATTGGTTAGTTGATTGATCAATCAGATTGATTGATTGATTGATTGATTGATTGTTTGGTTAGCAAGCTGACTGGCTGGTTGGTTGGCTGTTTATCATTTTATCATCGTAATTATCATTGTCAGGCTTACCAGAATATAATATTCTTAATTTTATACGTGTCTCCAGGACTACGTGGCCTCATAAACCTGGGCAACACATGTTTCATGAACTGCATAGTACAGGCCCTCACTCACACTCCATTACTGAGAGATTACTTCCTGGCAGACAAACACATGTGCCAGATGGAGAATGAACCGCAACAATGTCTTGTCTGCGAGATGGCTAGACTCTTTCAGGAGGTTGTCTATTTGTCTGTCCGTCTGGTTCTGTCTTTTGTGTCTGATTGTTTTGTCTGACTGATTGTTGTATTCAAGTGGTTTTTGTGTTTGGCTGCATGAATGACTGGTCGTCGTTGTGTCACTATTGTTTGCTAATCTTGTATTGCTGTATTCGAATGTGTGTGTGTGTGGTTGTGTGTGTGTGTGGTTGTGTGTGCGTTTGTGTGTGTGTGGCGTGTGCGTGTGCGTGCGTGCGTGTGGCTTTGTAATTTCGTGTGTGAGATGTGTAATTGTGTATCCCCACCACCTAGTTTTATTCGGGCATAAGCACCCCACATACGCCATACAAACTGCTGCACCTTGTGTGGACTCACGCTAGGCACCTGGCCGGCTACGAGCAGCAAGATGCACACGAATTCCTCATCGCCACTCTCGACGTCTTGCATCAGCACTGCAAAGGTTCTCTACTCTGCATGTTTGTGTGTTGCTTATGTCTGTTTGTGTTTGTCTGCGTGTATGTGTGTGTACGTGTGTGTGTTTGTGTGTGTGAGTGTGTATTTGGTTAAATATCTGCAGGTAGTAGTGGTTTGTCATCGAGCACATCCCCGCATTGCAACTGCATCATCGACCAGATTTTCACTGGGGGGTTGCAGTCTGACGTCACCTGCCAGAAATGCAAGTTAGTGTTGCTAGTTAGGCAGGAAAAAAATGAGAATGAAAAGAATTTAATTAATTAATTAATTAATTAATTTAGTTAATTAAAAGAATTAATTAAATTAAGAATTAAAAGGAGAAGAAAATTTTTGGTTATTATCTTTATCATCGTCACAAATGGTAAAATTTTCATTGATGTTAACGCCATCCTCTTTACTGTCATCATCGTCGTCATCATCGCCACCATCATTACCACCATCATCACCACCATCATCACCACCATCACCATCATCAGCAACGTGTCGACGACAATTGATCCGTTCTGGGACATCTCACTCGATCTCGGACCACCCGAACAATTTTCAGGTGGCCTTCCATATTTTTGTATCCACACATCCCTAAAATTAATAATATTGTGATTAATAATAATAATTTTATTATTTATAATTCTTTTTTAAATAATTCTCTGAGGCGTCGAAACAATATTACCACTTAAATTACCGTTCATTTATCAGGTGGTTTTCAAAATTTGAACTCTAAATTAGAGGAGCCGACATCACTAACGACGTGCTTAAAAAGGTTATCTTGCAATACATACATACATACACTCAACAATATCTCTAATAGAGTTTACACCATAGACAACAAATCAGAAAACTTAAATACACCATCAACAACGACAAACAACAACAATGAGCATTACAATGACGTCACAGTAACGTCACTACCCCAATAACACATTAAAACAGATTTACGAGACCGGAGCACTTGGGTAGTTCGGCCAAGATAAAATGCAGCAAGTGCATAAGCTATCAGGAGTCTACCAAACAACTTACCATGAAAAAGCTACCATTGGTGGCTTGTTTCCATTTAAAGGTATTTCTCTCTCTCCTCTCTCTCTCTCTCTCTTTCTCTCTCTCCTCTCTCTCTTTCTCTCTCTGTCTATCACTCTTACTTGTCTATTTCTTTCTTTCTCTCTCCAAATAACTCGTTTTTTAACTGACAGCTTGCAACGTCAAATATGTACATTCAAGTTTACATAACTACACACAGTACAAAACCAAGTTCATATAAATCCTTCATTGAAAATTTTCCGACTCAGAAAAAATACACACACACACAAGCGAACACGCACAAGTGCACACTCACGTACAAATACACACACGTACAAACACATACACAGAGATTCGAGCATTCAACTGGCTACCACAAAAAGATATCCACCTTCGTATCATTCCCTGAGGAACTGGACATGACTCCATTCATGTCTCTCACTCACAAGATATCGACAATGACGTCGTCGTCAACATCTGCATCGTCGTCATCGCCCAGTAAATCTCAATCCAATGCACAGAATCTAGAATATTCTGGGCTTTCTACCGAAAACAAGTTTGAGAAATTTTGTTCCTGTGTTTTTTCCGCTAAAGCTGATTAAAATTGATTACATACTTTTACGAAAATAATAATGTTCTCATCGCCACGCTATTCCTTCTCATGTTCCTCCACCATCTTTATGTTATCTTCGTCTTCAGCACCATCTTCATCATCATTTTACTCACTATCCTCTTCACCATCTCTATTACTACCTTTATCATCAACATCACCTTACTCATTTTCACAATCATCATCCTCTTCATCGCCGGAAACCCATCGTCATCGTGATCCACTTCATCACTACAGTCATCATCAAACTCATCCAAATGATTTTACTCATCATTTTCCATCATCTCGCAATCCTCATCGCCATCCTCTTCACAACAGGTACTCCTTATACTCAGTGGTGAACCACCGGGGCACGGCTGACTCGGGCCACTACACCTGCTTCATACGCCAACACAAAGACCACTGGTTCAGGTGCGAAGACAACCTCATCACCAAGGCATCTGTCGATGATGTACTCAACAGTGAAGGGTCCGTTGGTTTCTAATTATAACCATAATTAATAAAAATTATGATTATAATTATTGTTATCTCTTGATCAGTTTTCGGGTAACAAACCACGCATCACAACTGCACGGGATGTTAGTTAGGCCAGGATCTATTTGCATTCGAATCAAGTCACTGCAGTAGCCAAGACCAGGTGCCATAAGCTCATCGTCTCACTGTACTACGACTACAATCTACAATCATTTCTAATCAGGCTTATAACTTCAATCTACAATAACACTTGTAATCCACAATCAGGATTAGAGTTTATGACTATGTAAATATTAAATGTAATGACTAACTCGTTATCGTCGTAATTGTTTGATGTTATTCCGAGTTCATTGATTAATCTATCAGCTGTTCGTTGAATGGATTCACTAATTAACCTATCAGCTGTTCATTAAATTATAATTAAGTAAGCTAAGATCAATAAGATTAGCAGGATCTAATTGTCATATTAATATTAGTCGTAATATTATTGTATTTTTACAGAGCATCACTTTTCAACGCCGGCTAGATTTGAAATTTTATAAGATTCATGGGCGTTTTGTATTTATGCAATTGGTTAGAACTCATTCAGATGGCAGATTGTATAGTACATGCTTGTTAATGTAATGAATGTATTGTTGTATTTAGAAATTTAATGTAAGGAAATTACTCCAATGGATGTAACGTAATTTAATGTAATATAATTTAATGATGATGACATCTGCTATGTACTGCTTTTTGGTGTACTAAGATAAATATAACAAATTATAAATAATTACATAATTTCATTAATTAGAAATAATTAAACAACTAAATATGAAAGTCATTTGAATCTTCCCAATTAGCTACTTACTCTTCTACCATAAGCAAATCTTGGAATATGAATAAATGAATCAAAGAAATGATAAGAATGATGATGCGAATGAAGGAATGAATGCATCACAGTCGACATCTACCACTACTGCTACTACTATTACTGCTGCTACGACCACAACAACCACCAAAGCCAACTACAACGACAGCTAGCACATACCACAAGACATCCGGAAGATTCATTTCCAACCACCCCAACACGACCAATAATTAATCTGAGTTAGAAATGTATATATACGGACACCTAGTTACGCATATTGCGTGCGTACTACATTTTTGTGTGAGTATACGTATTTGCTTTCAATCATACATTTATATACTTGGCTATACGCATGTTCACTTATACAATGGCTATATGTAAATATAAGCATACATAGCTTCCTAATTTAGATTGCTAGTGACCGTGTGTTCAATCAATCAATCTTCGTTTTGCGTCCAGAGACCCGGTTTCCCGAGGTAGGATGTTGTTTTCTTTGCCATCAACTTTTTAAGCCAAATTAGGCGATCAGTTGTATCCATTTCATTTCATTTGAAATTAACTAGTGACCGTGTGTTAACTTTATAAAACTCTTACACTCACATCACGGACATCTGACAACTACAGATACCTATGAACATTCATACCATAAGATATAGCCGTTTATATAGATCGCTGCTCCATGATTTTAACACATGCAGGTTCCTCTATTTTTATCGTTGATATCTCATTTCTTATTGCTGCTTGTGATTTTATGTTATTTGTGGCTCGTCACGCACGCATTGATATGTAAAAAAAATATATACAGCTACAAGCTTTCATTTCTTTCAAGTCTCAAAAAATTAAATTCGAATCACGTACATATCGTTTGAAAACCTACGCATATTAGCAATTTACAAGTTCTTTTACGTGAGCAAACACTGTATTTTGAAACAAAAAACAATATATATATATGTATATATAAGAAAAGATTTGTCTGGAACGTCAACTATATATTATAAATAAATATTTAACACCTAATCAGAATGTAACACTTAATTAGAACAATGATTTAACATATGTACAAGAAATCAAATAAACAAAGATGATATAACAATGTGCCTGCGCTCTTAACACCCAACCAATCACAAACAACCAATAGCATACTGTCACAATCAATCAACAGCTGTTATCTCAGCAAAAAGACTCTTCAAATAGTTGATCTCCTTCTGAAGTTCTTCAGCCCTGACCTTCAGCTGTCGATTCTTTTCTTCTATCTCGCTACATTCATCCAAAAACTTGTTCTGCTCCTGCCTCTTCTTCTGCCTGTACTTCAAAGCTGCCGTCTTGTTCTGTTCTTTCAGTCGATGTTTCTTTTCTGGCCTGTAGCTTGATGGTGACTGCCTGTAAGGTTCAGAGAAATCTATTCTGTCAGCACCGCTGCAGCTGATGCTACTAGATGATGAACTGGCGGTTAATAGTTTTTTGAGATCACTGGGAGAGCTGTCGTAGCACAACTCTAACGAGCTCATTTCACCTGATGATGTATCACTGATTTGCTCGTTGTATGACATGTCATTATTCCATTCTTCAGCAGCGGCGTAGCTATTTGAAGAGTCTGAACTAACGGCAATATCAACATCCGTAGCTGCAGGGTGAGAATTTGAGACAACTGCAAAGAAAGGATTCACTTGGAAAGGTTCAATGGAAATAAGTTCCATTGATGGAGATGGATGGGTCTGGGTCTTTGACTCACCAACTTCAAGTAATTCATTTATATCTGGGGTTGGAAACAAATTATCTTCCAGTAGTTCAGGGTCCAAGATGAAGTTTGGATTTGACTTGCCATTCTTTGGATCTATCTGCTGCAACAGATCCATGATAACTGAAGGATCAGCAAAATCAGGTTGAAGTAACTGATCATCATTTGAAACACTAGATTGCAATGAAACTTGACCCGGCTTTTCATTAACACTTTGGAATTCATGCTCGATGGTGTTCATAAAGCTTAGATCATCATAGACACACGGCTTAGTTGGCGAAGTCAGGTTGTAGAATTCAGTTTCAAAATCAAATGTTTCTTCAGGCAATGAATTTCCAAAGGGAGAAACCAACAAACCTTGTTCTGCGAAGATGATTAAACATAGGTCATAGATTCAACTCAGAATAAAACAAACAGACTATTACACCAAGTTATTTTAAAATTGATTTAAACAAACTAACCAGAATCAAGTTGAGGATCGAACAGCAAGACGGAATCATCTACAAGATTGGACCCATGTGACCCCAGATATGACCCAGACCCGACCCTATCTCTAGTAAGTGTGGGGACAACTAGGTACTTCCCGACCAGCTGGTCCAATGCAAGGACGAACTGCGGGGAGTCCGCTGTGCAACTTTCGTATTGATATTCCATCTAATAAATCAGCAACGGCTTTGTCAAAATATATTTCTGATGATGTACGTGCTCTGAGAGCATGGTCCGCCATTTTGAAGAATCTATAAAAAAATTAGTTTAAATACAAAAATTAAGTTAGACACTTACTCTGGTAACTCAGAGAAACGTTTTTTACAAAAATCAAACTTTAAAAAAACTAACCCCATTTTGCCGCTGTGCTAGTGTTGTTTGCTGTGGCCCCGCGCTAAAGAACGTAGGCAGTGGATTAAACGACCATTTTGTGACTTAGAATGATATAACCAAAAAAAAGAGAAAACGCAATTAAAATCCTTCGTAAATGTAAAGAGAGGGTGGAAAAAGCAGGAACATACGATGTCACTTTTATACCAGTAGCGTAAGAACTAAGTGATATTATTAAGCTTTCTATTCGGCGTTATTCATAAGTATTTATTAAAACTTAATGATAACTTTTATGTCTGCAGAATTTGTTGAACTGATCTCACACGTTCTATACGAATTAAATTTAAAATTTGCAACTAAATTAAAACTCTTTTTCGCGCAACGGTTCACAAAAATGTGCTTAATGAGGCATAATTATTGCATCAGAAAAAGATGGCCAGGGAAGTACTATCTTTTAATAACTGCAAAATGCCGTAAATTGCAGAAACAAAACTATTTTTTATAAATAACTTTCAAAGATCAAATGATTCACTTAAGCTAAATACGCATTTTAGTGTGATTGTCATAAATTAAATTTTAATAAAAAATAATGCGCTACGACAACGAGCCCGGTCAGTTATTTTTAATAAAAATATATAATATATAAAAATGACATTTCAATATATCTTTTTGGCAACGTTCTTTAAATTGTTGCCCAAAATACATTGATGTTTTTATAGTTTTTACCGAAATAGCATCAAATAACATGTTCTTTCGAAAAAAAATTGTCTGTGTAGAACAAAAATAATGTGCACAATAAATTTAGATTTAAACAATAAAAAAAAACAGTTGTTTAAAATTTTTTTGAATTTTTGAAAGTTTAAGATGAATGCATTGCAAAATGCCAATGGCGTCTCACAAAGAAAGCATAGAAGACATAAAAGTTAATTGTAAAAGACAATGTCGGATGGTTTATAAGTTCTATGCTCTGTTTCTGTACGCAATGGCGGCGCCAGATTTTAAACAAAATTATTGCGATCGTCTCGTTTAATTAATTTGAGCTTTCTTCTTAGTACTGAAAATTAATTTTAACTCTGTTATCGACCGATCTATTGAAATTTGGCTTCTAATATTTTTAAATTTAATCGACTACATCGCAAGATTGCAAAAACAAGAAGATCGTCAGTCGTCACTAATTTTTTGTAATTTAAAGTCGGGTTTAATGTTGGAAATTTTTCTACATTATTTTCCTTCTTTTTTAATTGAACAGTTACGTGTTTTACATTTAAAAAATAATTCTCTACGATTTCTAACGCTACTGGAAGTGTTGTCGTATTCATTGATTCAGGGGATTTCCAGGGACGTGTTGTGCATTTTTTTCAGTAAATTGTCGCTTGTTCTCGCAAATCGAAATGGCCGATAAAAAGAACACAAATCCTGTTCCAGTTAGTGTTGTGTTCTCTCCAAAGCTACAAAATTGCAAGTTTGTTTTGAGCAGTACACCTAACAACCGGAGCAGTGAAATTATCACTAACTTCACAACTTTACCTGCCAGTTCATTCCAGATAACACCAATAAATAAAAATCTCTCGATGACAAATAAAGTTCAGCAAACAAGTTTGATAAATCAGTCAGTAGTTCGAGCAATAGCTCCAGTAAGACTGCCTACAAATGCAACAAAAGGTATCACACTCCAACCACAACAGAAGAATGTTATCACCCAACAGTCTAACATCATCTTCTCGCAGTCCTCTCCTTCAAAAATTATTATTCAAGTTAGTTTTATTTACTTTTTAATAGTAATTCTTTACTAAACCAATATAATTTGTTTATTAAGTCTAATAAATGTTCCATCAAAGCATCAACATATGAATTCACTAATTAAATTTTTTCTCACTAAATAGACAGTGCCCGGGGGTGCGTTTCAAAAACTTCAACGACAAACGACGACAATACCACGACCACTCATTAGTAGCACAACAAACAAAGTCAGCACGATCCTAACTAACAATAGTCTCACAAAAAATAATCCTCAAATTTTTCGACTCATTGGGCCCAGCAGCCAAATTCAATTAGACACATCAAATGCTTTATCCAGTTAGTAAATTTGTTTTCTATAATTTGAATAATTAACAAAATATTTTTAAAAGTGAGATGAAAACATAAATTATTTAATGGTTATTGAATGTATTTTTTTTGTCAGGTAAGCTCCTACCCAGTACATCGCAAGTGAACAGGTCAAAATCACTTTCCATTGTCAATCCAGCTCAGGTAAATTTTTCAATTTTTTGTTTTTTTTTTATGCAGAATATGCTTGGGCTTGTTCATCTATAACAGGGGCGGGCAAACTGTTTGCTCTGTGGGCCACATTGAAAACTATTTTACCTTTGAAGGGCCGCATATTATGTACTTAAATAGCAAATTTTTTTGACTCAGGCAGAATTTTTTTAAGATTTTTGGCTCTTTCTTCTGGTCATAACGTCTGGCCAACAACCTTATTTTGATGAACAAGGCTTCGCAGGTTGTAGTTTGCCCACCCCTGATCTGTGTAACATAATCAACATTGAAATCACTCAAGCATTATTAATTTACTAACCAACCAAACAGTTGACAAAATCCTTAAACAACAACATTATTGTTCCACAGTCTACGACAACAATCCCAACATCGCAACGACTAATCTTACCGGCCACATCCCAATTTCACGTTACGGTCGCTTCCAACCATTCACTCTTACAAAACATCAGCCTAACGACAACAATATCTACTTTCAATAACAGCAGTATCATTAATATCTGTAGCAGCAGCAGCAGCATTAGTAATTCCTGTGGTAACATTACTAAAAACATTACTATCAATATTAATAATAATAATGGGAATAATATTATCAGTGGTAGTGGTGCTGGTAATAATAATCAAGGGTTCACTTTTCTTCACGCTCCTCCCACTGTTATAACAGTAAGTTGTTTATCTTTGCTTTGTATAATTGCTTTTTCAATATTCTATGCTCTATTTTTGAGTAATTTTTATTTACCTCCTTTTTTTATTCGTCAGCAATTATTTAACAAAAAAACAACAGCCAACGAACCAATCAGTGTTGTCCGATTCGTCAGAGGGTAATTCATCCGACAACAATTCAATGTCGTATACGGTCGTTTCCACCTCCAATGAAACGTTGAGAAATAACAGGTGGTTAATTGTTCTTTGGTATCAAACTATTTTATTTATGCACTTTTTCTATCTTTGGTCTTATTTTTCTGTTGTTTTAAGTGGTATAACTCTCAATCACTTTTTGCTCCCCTGGTTTTGTATTGTTATCATTTGTATTGTTTTAATCATTATTTAGAATACTTTGTTAGGAATAATTTCCTTTAAAATTCTTAATAATAAGCTGAATAATGATCTCTAAAATGCTCAATGTGTTATTTTAAAGTCTGATTAGATCTGCCTTAAAAAAAACATTATTGTAGAGAAAATTTTGAAAAATTTGGTAAAAAAATGAAATCACAGATATAAACGAAAAGTGAATTACATAATTATAAATAACAACATACGAAAAAACTTTGCACATTCCTGCAGACAACAGCTGCAACAACAACACTGGCCTATACTGGAGTCGAGTTTAAGGCAAAGAAAACCATGCAACTGTACAAAATCACAGTGCTTGAAACTGTTAGTTTTTATTTTTGTTAGTTTAATAAACTGTAATTATAGAATAATTATTCATAATTACAAAATAATTATGAATAATTATGATCATCATCCAGTTACTGTGAATGTTTTGCAAATGGTGAGTTCTGTAAAGATTGCAATTGCTGCAATTGCGCGAACAACTTGCAGCACGAAGAAGAGAGAACCAGGGCCGTTAAGTCGTGCATCGAGAGGAACCCACATGCTTTTCATCCAAAGATTGGTTAGTTTTTGTAGCTGCTGTAGTGGCCGTAGTCGCTGCGGCTGTTTTGAATCTGGAAAGTTGGTTGTTCTATTGTGTTGTGCTTTTTCATGTTGTTGATATTAATTCATGTTATGCATCAAGTTATTCACCCAATGATGGCTAGCTGTTGCTGTGATGTTAATTTGCATGGTAGTTTAGTATTGTCAGTATGTTGCTTGCTGATGAGATTTGAAAGATTAGTTGGTTAGTTTTTGTTTGTGTTGGTATGGTTGGTTGTTACGTTGGAACATTTGATTATTATTGTTTGATTAGGTTTGATTGTATTTTTATTATCATCACCACCATCATCATAATCAGCAGAACCATCATCATCATTATTAGTAAAGGGTGGGGTGGCAAGACACCACAACAAGGGTTGTAACTGTAAGAGATCTGGCTGCCTCAAGAACTACTGCGAGTGCTACGAGGTTCGTCGTGTTCGGAAGTTATTGGCAGCATGAACAATTTCTATCTGTTTAGTCATTTTTAATATATTAATAGCTACAATGATAATAATTATGATAATGGTGATGATAATTGATAATTTTTTGATTACACAGGCTAAAATTCTCTGCTCAAAAATGTGTCGATGTGTAGGCTGTCGAAACTTTGAAGAGAGTTCAGACAGGCAGAAGCTAATGCAGCTTGCTGATGCTGCTGAGGTCAGAGTTCAACAGCAGACAGCTGCTGAGAATAAGCTATCCATGCAGATATTGGGCAACACCCCTGTCAAACACCAAACCCTTTCCATAAATGGGCAGAGGTGAGTTAAGGGATGGTTCATACTCTTCATTGGACTTGTTACATATGCAAACTGTGTTCATTCAAACACAGTACCTTCATTTATGCATTTAATTACTTCATTTATTCAAAAACCAATTCACTCACTCAATCATGCAGGCCTCCATTCACATTTGTGACACTGGACGTGATAGAAGCAGTGAGCTCGTGTTTGATAGCAGAGGCAGACGACAACCAACTCTCAGAAGTCATGCAAGAACGACAAGTTCTCGAAGAATTTGGAAGATGTCTCTTCCAAATTATTGAAATGGCCTCAAAAACACGAGGTTTGTTATTTTAAATTTGTAAGTTTTATAGTAGAATTTTTTATTTTTTCCTGGTTCTCTCTTAATTTTATAAAAATTCGTTAATTTGTTTCTGATTTTGTTAGTTTTTATGGCAAAACATATTTAAATATTTAACAAAAATCAATTTTTCTTTATAGCCCCAAGCCCATAACAGCACTAACCAACCGAAGAACAAAAAAAACAGAAACCTGATTCTAGCTAACTTAACTTACAGACTGTTGATGCTTTGCATCGCCGTTTTGTCGCGTTAATTTTGTCTTACTGGCTATGTCTTGAATGTTTTAACTATAACAACATTATGTGTGTACATGTTTATATGCGATAGATATACATGTGTATGTATACATACATGTATATTACCCATATCTATTGATATATGTACGTTTTTATCATTATTTTAACGGGAGTTTGCATTGCTTTACGGATGTTAGTTGTTTAAAATTTTCATCAATCATTTATCATTAAATTAATGCTTTGACGATGTTTATAGTTGTTTATTTCTCTAATTCTTAATTTGCTCTTCACATTATCAATTTTTTTTGGTTGGATACTTAGATTATTTATTATGTAAATAATGTTCAAGTGTGCTTAAACCATCATTCTTTATCCATTTTTTAAATTATTCATTGTTGGAGATGCAATCTTTATCAAAATTTATGATTTTATTCGAAAATTGTAATCACAACTCTTGGCTAGCTAATGAATGGTTGATCAGTTGCCAAGTTGAATGACTAATTGCTGAGTGATTGATCAGTTTGCTAGTTTATTGTTTCACGTCGTCTGTCGATCATCTTAGGAAATTTTGCCCTTTTAATTACTATTCTTCATACAAAATTTTGACATTTTATAATAGTTCATGTCGAAAGATGATCATTGAACTTATAAATGTTCAGTTTTACGATATATATAAATACACGAATGCAGCTACGTTAACTAGGTGTTAGTGCATGAGTAACACCTATGTAGTATAAATGAACCTTCATTGTAAATATACAGATAACTTATTATAACTGAAATAAAAATTATTGTGCAACAAAATGACTTTTTTTCTCATGGTTCGTGTCGTTTGCATTGTTTATCTCTGTCAAGTCGATCTTGGGCTATTTTTCCAAATCATCAAAATTCACCTAGCCACTAGAACAGGCATGATTAAGCCGAATCTAGTCCAGCCAGAAAGAAGGCAAAAAAACAAGATAAAAATAGATCAATCTCGATCAATTCCTCACACATATTGCCTCGTTGTTCAAGTTTCAATAGCTCATTAATGTAGCAGGCATAATCGAAAATACAATTAGTTGAGAGATATTTCCTCAGAAATTAATTTTCATAATTGCGACGTCCGGATTAAAAAAGGCAGGCAACCGTCTCCAGTAGGCCACGATATGACGCAAATTACGACATCATTGGAAAATCTCACCTCAACACATTGAATATCATGCACTGCTGACAAATATGAATTAACTGAAAAAACATTGCAAAACCAAAGATCCCCCTAGTTAACTCAATTTTTTAGTTAAGACCCAATCAAGATAAACTAAAATTTAACTAAATTTCCTTAATTAGTTAGAGTCAGACTCAGTTATAATCAGACTCAGAGATAATCGCAACCACCATTAATAAAACCAATCAAATAGAAAACATCGAAAATCAGAGATAGAAGCGCTGGGATCAAAAACGTAACATTTTGGTGGTATTTAATCAGGAAAAATTTTCATAATAATGGCTCGTGAGAATTAATGACGGCAGGCTACCGTCTCTCAGCTTAGCCACAATATGACGCAAATTACAACATCATGCAAATACCACCAATTACAAATATTCCGTTTATAATTGAAAATTATAATAAAAAATAAGAAAAAAAAAGAGAAAACGAAGCACAAAATCGCACGAAATCAAAATGCAGGCAAGCAAATGCTGAACCAACATGTGCGACAAGGAAAAGGAAATCGCAAAAGTTAATTTACACAAAAAAGCATGGACAATTAAATAATTCCAATTAATCTTTAGTATAATTTTTTTATATTTTTAGAGAACGCTAAATAAAATTAAAATACAGTATTATAGTTCAAAAAATTACGATTTATATACAATTAATTTTAAAAATAGTATAAATTAAACTAAAAAAGTTTATAAAAGGGATCGAAATGATGCTACATTGCTGCTTAACTTTTGGAATTTCTAAGTGGAATTCCATTATAAAGATGAACTAAAGATATGGATAATTTTTATTTTAATAGTTTTCCCGATTTATGGCACTAACTTTATTTAATTTAGTCATATTTATTCCAATAAAATTATTTCTTCCAATATAATATAATTTGAAAATCTTTCTAAATTAAAATTTAATCATCAAAAATGAAGAGTCAGCTGTCATTTATGATCATAATTTTGTTAACTTTAAATTTTCCAAATTTCTCATCACATTTAAATGAAAATAATTATGAAGGTAAATTATTTTAGAAAATTTACGCTCAATAACTTGTGTTACTAATTCACAATTATTTTTTTTCAATTAATTAATTCTAAATTATGTTTTAATTTTATGATCAATAATAGAAAATAGTGTTATAATTATAATTATATTATTAATTGTTTCTTTTTTTGTCCAAATTTTTGTCAACAATACTTTTATTTTTCTTTTATACAACTGGGATTGATAAACAAACTGACTTATCAACTGACATTAATTACACAAACACAGGTTTTTAATTTCAAAAAGATTTTCTGCAAACAACCATGTATGACTTCATACTTCAATGATCTGATTTATTGCATATCTATATATATATATATATATATATATATATATATGCAAATTTCATTGAAATTGTTTGCCCATTTTGCATTAATTAACTTCTTTATAAGACATTCAACGAGGCGGTATTTATCTAAAACTGGAATAAAGCTAACAGCGCTGTTTCGGCGTAATGCCATCTTCAGAGCCTAAATATTGTTTAAACATATAATTTAATTAAAATAAATGTCTAATGTAAAATGTGAAAATATAGAAAATAAAATGTGTATTAAATTGTTGTAAATATCATAATAACTAAAGTTTATGTAGATTATATAAATAAAATAATGTAATTTAAATAAAATGTTTAGTAAAATAATTAAAATATAGAAATTTTATAAAAGTTTTAACATGGTTGAAAAACGTTAGTGAAAACTAATTACGAATGACATGTGCGCAAGATATATAATATTGCTGTGTATGCGTTGTGAATACAACTATTGCGGTTGAATATGTGTGATACGAGTTTCCACATCAGACCTACGGATACATAGTTAAATATAAATACATATATGTACATGCAAGATACATATCGATGTATAGATCAAATATTAAGTATCACATAATACATCCACCGACGCAATGACGGTTGTCGGATGACGCTGGGTCACAAACTGCGTGTTAATGGGTTGAAATGTATTCAACGTAGAATGATATTCATATCGTTGTGGTACACGCAGATCCTGTGAATTAACCCCAACGGCAACAGTAGGTGTGAGATCGTGATATTGGGAAAACAATTGCAAAGTGTGATCAGAGCTGTTATATTGTTTATTGAGTGAGGGTTTATGCTTGTTGATATGAAGGGCTTCTTTAATTTTGAGGCGAACTGGATTGGGTTCATATTCAAGGATCGTTGTGTTGGGATCCAATATGTTCCTCGTAAGCGGTTGATGATGTACCTGTTCCATATGGTCCTTAATGGCACCATTCTGTGTATGCATGGTGAGTCTTCTAGAAAGAGTAGTTCTCGTATGGCCGATATAACTCTCCACAACACAGTGTGGCACGGGACAAGAAAATCGGTTTTGTTGATATAATGTTTTATGGTATTATCTATTAATTGGTTGGAATAGTTGTTGTTGATTAGACGACATTTTCCCCGATCTCGGGGAAAATGTCGTCTAGACGTGTGTTGTTGTTGTTGTATTTTAGTTTAGTAGTGGGTTTACTGTAATGTAATCTATCTATACTATATATATAATATAATTTGAACTATATACATGGTGTATAATACACATTATAGTACTGATTAATGCCTATAAAAAGAATGATTTGTCAAAATTTAACTTTTAAAATTAATGAAATTGCTATTGATGTTACTATCTAACCACAATTTATGATCAGAATCACAATTAGGAATAGAGTTTGTGTTGTATGCCATTATGCATTTGTTTATAGAATGATCATTTGATGTGTATTATACACAATTATACACACAGTTATGCATACAAATATAAATACAAATAAACACTCATATGTGACTGATTATAAACCCTATCGCAATGTTTTGTTATATTTTGAAATCAATGCAGGGATAGAAAGTTAAATTTAGCCAAGAAATTTCTTTCTTTCCAAATGTATTTTTATGTAATCGTACTGATCTGTAGAATGTTTTACAAGTAATTGTGATATGTAACTATATGTAACTACTGTAAATATTTGTATTTAGGATGATGAATTTAATTGATTTTCATATTTTTTTTTGAGTTTTCTTCAATAATAATGACATTTTCAGTTTAATCTTTAATGTACTCAAATAAAAATTTCCAGTAGATGGCATTAAGTTAGATAGCAGCGATGTTAATAACAATTTCGGTGGCGATAACGATGATGACGTCAATAACACGTCACAGAATTACTCATCCACATCGCTGTTGCAACCACCATTACCATCGTCGTCCTCATCATCTTCTTCATTGTCAGTGTCGCTACCACAGCCACCACAAAACGTTTTCACCATATCTTTAATGGGCAACGCATCCATTTTGAGGTTGAATAGTTGGGAGGCTTTTGTACCCGCACCACCCCCACCGCCACCCCTTTTTTCATGGCTTCCACCTCCTCCATCTCCACCACCACCCATCAGACAAGTCGTTTATTTCAGTGATACTGTTGAAGTTACCATAGAGATGTATGTTTTAATATGCGTTTGTCTGAGTGTGTTTTTGTGTGTGTGGTGTGTGTGTGTGTCTGTGC